ATTTTTAATAAATCAACTTTTTATAATATATTTTCTTTTCTTTAAAACCTTTAACTCTTTATAAATAACATTTTTTTTGTATATCAAATTGTGTACATCAATTTTTTAACCAATAAAATTATAGCATTCTTTTTGTACATCAGTTTGTATAACCTTATATATATTATTTTAATTTTTTAAAAATTGAATTTTTTTTAAAAACTTAGCAAATTTGCTAAATTTTTTATTTAATTCCAAGAATCTTTAAAAAAAATTCATCAAATTTGGTTAGATAGTTGTCAAAATATCTTTACTCAAAGTTAATAAACATTCAAAACACTAATAATAAAGAAACAGTAAAAAATTATTAAAAAAAAACTTTGGGTGAAGATATCTTAACAACTACTTAAACAAATTTAATGAACTTTTTTTCTTTTAATTCTAGAGAATTTTAAACTTAAAAGAAAAAAAGTTCATTGATTTTGCTTAAATAGTTGTTGAAATATCTTCACTTAAAGTTAGTAAAAACTCAAAACACCTATTATAAAAAAAACAGTAAAAGTTTTTTTTAAAAAAAAAAACTTTGAGTAAAGATATCTCAACACCTACTTAAGCGAGTTTGATGAACTTTTTTTTGTTTTAATTCTAGAGATTTCTACAATTAAAATAAAAAAAAGATCATCGAATTGGCTTGGATAGGAGCTGAGATATCTTCACTCAAAATAGACGTTTTGAGTTTCTACTAACTTTGAGCAAAGATATCTCAGCAACAACCTAAGCAAATCCGATGAGCTTTTTTTTCTTTTAATTCTATAAGTTTCTAGAATTAAAAAAAAAAAACCATCAAATTTACTTAAGTAGTTGTCGAGATATCTTCGCTCAAAGTTTTTTTTTAAAAATTTTACTGCTTCTTTATTATAGGCGTTTTGAATTTCTATTAACTTTGAGCGAAGATATCTCGACAACTACCTAAGCAAATTGATAAACTTTTTTTTTTTTTAATTCTAGAGATCTCCGGAATTAAAATAAAAAAAAATTCATCAAATACGGTTAAACAAATAAACTAAAACCAAATGATTAAACAGAAATAGAGTTAATTTGCTTAGATAGGTGCTGAGATATCTTTGCTCGAAGTTTTTAAAAAATTAAAATGATGTACACACTGATGTACAAAAAAAAATGCCGAATAATAAATTGACTCTTTAATAATATATGATTAAAGTAAACCTCTAAAATTTTTTTAGACAAAAAGTTGCATCAAACCCCATGCAGGAGGCACTCATTTGAATAAAAATTTCGTTTGGACGCGGACATGGGAAATACTTATTTGTGCGAGTGATCCAAACCCAAAAAAGGAAATTCAACGTAAAAATAAATTGTGAAATAAAAATTTAGTGTTAGAACACTGAAGTTGATGCTATAGAAATAAACGTTTACTTCCTATACGTAAAATTTCATTTCCGTGTATTTTCGCTTTTTTCATTTTTTTTCGTGTTTTTCTTCACGTGTCGACTGATCCGGGATAATCACATTTTACGTTCTCCGATTGGCTAATTTCCCATTTTGGATTTGTATCACCCGCACAAACATGTCCAAAAATTTGCGCAACTTAAGTTTCATGTTACATCTTATCTCGTCTTCTAATTGGTCAGAGTCGAAACATGAAAGAAATTTGGGAGACGGACTGGGAAAACCCCTGAAGGCAAGTGTCAGGCGACAGTTTTCCTAGTCTATTTCCCAATTAGTAAATGCGCAGATTTTCGGAATCACTTACCAGGTAAGTTACTATTCTGGTAGCTTACCATGAAAATTTAGATTGTGATAATTTTACGACACAGAGTTACGAACATCCAAATAATAAAGGCCAATTAGTAAAGATTTAAAAGTAGGTACCTACTAACATCGTACGTTCTTGATGGGTGTACGAAATTGAATGTTAAAAGATGTAAAGTAAATGGAAATCCCAAATTTCAGGAAACTATCCTTTTATATGAATTAATTATAAGACAAATTTTATCAGATTAATGGATATTATTTGGATCGACATCATCATTAAGAGTAAGATCATCCAATAACTCTTCTAATTTTACTTCGGGTAAATCATCTTCATCGTCATTATTTTCTTCAACTATTGTATCTATAACCATTGCATCGGAAGCTTTATATAAATTAATATTCTGTCGAAGCTCTGAATCTTCTTCCAAATCTCGTAAGAACATCTCATAGTCTTGGTCCATTTTTTCTAAATCCAATTGCTCTTCTTCTTTTGCCAAAGATTTTAGTTTCCAATTACGTTTATTTTTCCTGCGTCTCTGTGAATACGATTTTTTGACGAGAACAACATCGGGAAGAGAATCCTGATTGAGACTATCAAAAGTGATGTCATTAAAGTTGGATGATGAAAGATCGTATCCCATAGCATTGTCGCCTGGACTAAGAATCCCACCAAGATGAGATCGTGCAAAAAAGGTGATGTCATTTTTTCCAAAATCGGCAGAGCGTGCTACTTGGATGTCGGCAAGTATATACTAAGACAGATGTAATTTGTTAATGAATTTAAAATTACTTTGCTTTGAAGACTTATATTATTACCTTGCCACGAGTGGGGCCTAAAGGTTCAACATCCAAAACATAATATTCTACCAAATTCTTTGTTGTTGCCAAGGAATTAAACGGCTGTCTCCAATATACTGATGTGGATATTTCAGAAACTAATCATAATACATACATATACATATATATATATACATACATAATTTAGAATAAAATTGGACAAATAAATAGCCTGTTTAAAATGATTACCAGCCAAGGTGTTCGGATCCATCACGTGTATTGAATTTCCCACACGGTAGCAAAGAACTAGTGGGCTATTAAAGTAGTTTATTAATAAAAAATAAATAAAAGTATTGAAAAATAATCGTGATCTAAATAGCAAAACTGATTACTTATAATTCTGGTTAAATTTGCTGATCATTTGGCCAGATTCGAGATCAAAAAACTCTGAACTTGATCAAACGATCAGTAAATTTGACCAGAATTAAAAGTAATTGGTTTTAAGAAAGATTATAAAACCTAATGTTGCCCAAAGAGCGCGCAACCTTCAATGGTAAACAAACTAAATCATCTTTACATATAGGAACAATCTCCACAGAAAAAGAAAACTTATAATTAGATGTATTGCTATGAATGTCAGTTGAAATTAATCGCTCAGAAGATTTTGATCTGAAAAAAAAGAAAATATTTTAAATATTTAAATCTATACAATATATATATATACATAGTTAATTAATTAGCCAACTTACTTAATTGGAACAACAGCATTTAGAAATTCGACCATTTTGACAGCATGGGATCTGTGTGCATAAAAAAAGTCAAGACCATCCTTGACTTCTTTAATATTGATCGTGTCTTTGTGTGCATGATGTTTGAGGATGAGCTGTTCTAAAAACAAGAAAGTCCGTTTGTGATTGACTTTTTGTCTGACTTGGACCATTGCTTGCCACGTATTTTTTGCCATAAGACGTGTGCAATCACCACATTGTTGATAATTAACCACGAACTCGACTTCTGTGATTTGTTGGATGATCGTTGATATAAAAACCTAAATACCCATTTTAAACGATGAGAATTTTATTTACGACCTGAATAAAAATAAAGCATGCCTACCTCTTTCTGAACAGTTAATTTGACTTTAATTCTTCTTGAATGTGGTTCTGTCCATATGAAGCCAGCATCAATGAGTTTGACCTTATTCAAACCCTTCAATTTTTTGAGACATAGTGACAGTAATTCCCTGCTTTCTAATTCGGCACGAATCCATATATTTGGTGGCTGTAAGTATCTTTCACAATTGCGACAGAATTGTAAAGTAGCATGCTTTGGGATGCCGTCAGTAATATCCACTTCATTCCGAATGCAATTAATGCACATATTCGAAGGGTTTGGGGCAATGGCAGTCCCACATTGGCAGCAAAGACTATTATGTTAAAAATTCTTTATGAGAGAATGAAACAAAAAACGTTAAATGTATATTCGAAAGCTTACATTAACTGCTCGACAACAACAGGATCAAACTGCATTTTAGTCTTTTTTTTTTTTTTTTTTAACGAACGGTAATTTATAGCAGCACGTTTAGTAGATTAGTCATGTAGAACGGAGGATCTACGGACAGATCTTAGGGACAGTAGGGACAGAGTAAATCACGTGATCTTACGGACAGCGTATATAAAT